TACGCAGTTTAGGGATGTGTCAAATCCGAATCTCGAATCCACCGAATCCTTTTTTTTATAATAAATATTATAATAAAGCTATAAGGCATATACTGCGACATTGCCTAACCATAGAGGTTATTGATGTCGTAATATACAGTACTGTGACATTGACTAACCATAGAGGTTATTGAAATATACAGTACTGTGACATTGCCTAACCATGGAGGTTATTGACGTCGTAACATACAGTACTGTGACATTGACTAACAATAGAGGTTATTGATGTTGTAATATACAGTACTGTGACATTGCCTAACCATGGAGGTTATTGACGTCGTAACATACAGTACTGTGACATTGACTAACAATAGAGGTTATTGACGTCGTAACATACAGTACTGTGACATTGACTAACAATAGAGGTTATTGATGTTGTAATATACAGTACTGTGACATTGACTAACAATAGAGGTTATTGACGTCGTAACATACAGTACTGTGACATTGACTAACAATAGAGGTTATTGATGTTGTAATATACAGTACTGTGACATTGCCTAACCATGGAGGTTATTGACGTCGTAACATACAGTACTGTGACATTGACTAACAATAGAGGTTATTGATGTTGTAATATACAGTACTGTGACATTGACTAACAATAGAGGTTATTGACGTCGTAACATACAGTACTGTGACATTGACTAACAATAGAGGTTATTGATGTTGTAATATACAGTACTGTGACATTGCCTAACCATGGAGGTTATTGACGTCGTAACATACAGTACTGTGACATTGACTAACAATAGAGGTTATTGACGTCGTAACATACAGTACTGTGACATTGACTAACAATAGAGGTTATTGATGTTGTAATATACAGTACTGTGACATTGCCTAACCATGGAGGTTATTGACGTCGTAACATACAGTACTGTGACATTGACTAACAATAGAGGTTATTGATGTTGTAATATACAGTACTGTGACATTGCCTAACCATGGAGGTTATTGACGTCGTAACATACAGTACTGTGACATTGACTAACAATAGAGGTTATTGATGTTGTAATATACAGTACTGTGACATTGACTAACAATAGAGGTTATTGACGTCGTAACATACAGTACTGTGACATTGACTAACAATAGAGGTTATTGATGTTGTAATATACAGTACTGTGACATTGACTAACAATAGAGGTTATTGATGTTGTAATATACAGTACTGTGACATTGCCTAACCATGGAGGTTATTGACGTCGTAACATACAGTACTGTGACATTGACTAACAATAGAGGTTATTGATGTTGTAATATACAGTACTGTGACATTGACTAACAATAGAGGTTATTGACGTCGTAACATACAGTACTGTGACATTGACTAACAATAGAGGTTATTGATGTTGTAATATACAGTACTGTGACATTGACTAACAATAGAGGTTATTGACGTCGTAACATACAGTACTGTGACATTGACTAACAATAGAGGTTATTGACGTCGTAACATACAGTACTGTGACATTGACTAACAATAGAGGTTATTGACGACGTAATATACAGTACTGTGACATTGACTAACAATAGAGGTTATTGACGTCGTAACATACAGTACTGTGACATTGACTAACAATAGAGGTTATTGACGTGGTAACTCGTAACATACAGTACTGTGACATTGGTATTGTTGTCGTGGTGGTTATAAGTGTTAAATAGTTCCTATTCCATTCTTGCTTTTATAATCAACGTAAGCCCATTTGTAATTATTTTTCGGAGGATGGCATTTTGATGCCAAAACAGCTGTAAAATACATAAACTTAACAGCTGTGACGAGGTAATTGTATAATTATATTATATTTTTGGGACTCAAGATTTGAAGATTCGGAGATCCAATTATTTTGGGATTCGGATTTGTATTTGAGATTCAAAATTCCTGGATTCGACCATCACTAACACAGTTCAAAACTTTCTGGGTACTCCGTAACTTTTTTTTAATGCTGATTCCAGAATCTCTCATGATTCCACGTGTACCAGACCTAATTTCCCAAATCCTTATAAACAAAATTTTAATGCTGATAAGCCTGTGAATTAACTGTGGAATAAGGTTTGGAAATTAAGGCTGGTCTTAGCCAAACTGAAGTAACGTTGGTTCTATTTCCAACTAGTACCTATGTTTAACCCTTTGAGTGCCAACGTCCGGGGAACCGGACGTTTTTAAAACGAGCCAAAAGTGCCGACGTCCAGCCGACCGGACGTTTTTAGAACGAGCCAAAAGTGCCAACGTCCGGCTGACCGGACGTTTCGTAATGATCGAACAGTTGTCATAACAACCGAATGGATACTCGGATTCTTATAACCCATATATTAACATTGAGTCAAAAGTTACTAGATGCGATACATCGATTTTCGTTGGTCGAAATATCAAAAATTCGATTTTTACGAAATTTTAACCTAAAAATCGCCAGATCGCGCTCGGCATTTTTAGCGCGACCTTCGGGAAAAATCATCGGCATTTTTTGAGCGTTACTTTTATTTCTCGCCTGGCACTCTAAGGGTTAAAAAATGTTTTTGTAAAGGTCCTAAATTGTCTTCATAGCCTACTAAATTAAAAAAAAACAGTTGTTTCTTTTATTTCTGTACCTTCCAATTGTTTCCAAACAGTTTAAGATTATCTAGGATTTAGGATTCGTTTTCAAACTTTTTTGATATACCATTGTAAATACTGCATGCCTTCCCAATCTACTCTCTGATGTTAAAACCCTGATATTTCTCAGCTCATTAAATCAGCTGTTTGATAGTTAAGCTTGATGCCTCAATGATGATTTGACATTTTACTGGGGTACACAATGGTACATGTACAAAAATTATCAGTCTAATTTAAACATGTGTGTTCATCTTGATGATTTCATAATTTGTGATAAAATTTGTTTGTACAGTCTAGAAAATGGGTGTATGTATGTCAAGGACAATCTATGGCTGTAATTAATTTGCATTTAATGTGCAATGAATCATTTGACTTTTAGCCCCAGTTGCGAGTACAGCTTAAATTGTTTTACAGCATGTTGCACCTGTACTTTTGTTTTTAAACTTTCACAATCTTTCTGCTAATTTACTTGCAGGGAATTTTTAAAAAATAGGGAAATAATCAAAACTAGAGGTCGTCTAGTGGATGAAAACTCGACCAAAAATATTTAATGTACAGACTTCTCTATTTTCACCCCCACACTGTAAAGAAAACATGTGATTGCAATTTCTTTAATTTGTTTTGATTTTCTGTTTATATTTTGTCACCAGCATATTTCTATAAGGCCCATCTTAATTTTTATTAAATTTTAAATTAATTTTTGTGCTCTTTTTGAGCCTATTTTAGTTTCTAAAGGTGTTCTGCACATCTACAGGCAAATATCTTTGTAACAGTATGCGTAGATTTTCCCTGCGATGCACACAAGCTGAGAAAAAAGGTTTTAAAGAAACATGTTTGCCTGGGACAATATACAGGGTGATTGATATAAGTGTGCCAGCCGTTTTATTCGAAAACTATAGGAGATATCAAAAAAAGTTAAATGGTAAGTGCCTTGGATTTTTTATTAAAAAAATTATAGTCGAGTCAAAAAAATTATTTTAGCCGCCATTTTTCCAATATGGCCACCAACTTTGATTTTTCTTATAGAACACCCTGTATTTTTTTATGTATTCTGGTAGAAAAAGTAATTTTAAGACGACTTTATTGTGATTTTTTTTATAAACCTAACCGTTTCAAAGATAATAATGGTTTAAGTTGTGAAATTTTGAATGGTTTTCGAGCAAAACAGCTGGCATGCTTGCTTAGGCCTTTATCGAAACTCTTTCTCATGCAGAAATTTCAAAACTTTAACCATTATTATCTAAAAACGGTTAGGTTTATGAAAAAAATCACAAGAATAAAATCGTCTTAAAATTACTTTTTCTACCAGAATACATAAAAAAATACAGGGTGTTCCATAAGAAAAATCAAAGTTGGCGGCCATATTGGAAAAATGGCGGCTAAAAAAATTTTTTTTGTTTTTTAAATAAAAAATCCAAGGCACTTACCATTTAACTTTTTTTGATATCTCTTATAGTTTTCGAATAAAACGGCTGGCACACTTATATCAATCACCCTGTAGATACGCAAGAGTCATTTTAGCTGTATTTGACTAATATTGTGCAAGAGAATAAATATAAATAAATATTTAGAACATTGCTTACTTTATAGTTTAAACTGTCAGTGAACATTTTCACTTCTAACCTTTGTTTTATTCAAAACAATTTAGAGAAGTTTACGGCGATAATACTCAAGTCTATTGTTTAGAAAATAGTAATCTATTAATATTTTTACTACACTTTCAATATAATCGTGTGTTTTGAAAGGAAAATTGTATCCTATGTGTTTTCAGATATATCAAAAGAAATACTGTTTACCGTTTGTTTAACGAATTCACAATTCATGGAGAAACATGATTTATTTTACTTCTAATTTTGATCTGTGATTTTTTTAACATCTTTTGAAACATTGTTCCTAACTTAAGCCTCAAACCACTTGACTTATCTATTGCTGGAAAACATTATTCATTGTCCAAGTTGGAGTGAAAATGTCAACACTTTTTTTAGGTCTTTGAGTTTATCTTGGTAATCTAGTTTAGGCTTTAAAGCCGGGTTTTCCTAGGCGCAGAAGTGGAGAGTGGAGAGAGGAACGCGGAGAGCGGACTCCACTTGTCTTAGGAAATTTAATGTTACTGTTTTCCTAGAAGCAGAGCGGAACACCATGTTAATCTCTCTTCCACTCTCCATGTTCCGCTCTCCGCTTCCGGGCCTAGGAAAACCCACCTTAACTAGCTTTACATAGTTTAGTATTTTGCATGACATTTTCTGACCACCAAAGTAAGTTTAGATCCTTTTTTTCCCCAACCACTTTTATACTAACCCTTAAAAATGTGTCTTTATGATAAATAAATTTTCGGTTTTAATTGAAACTTTTGTTTGTTCCACAGAGGGACAGCCAAGGCTCCTTGGATTACATAGGCTCAACAAACAACACTTCACCTTATTCTCAGGTAATCTATTTTTACTTAATTAATTAATTTGTTCAAATTTTTTATAGTTTTTAATTTTTACAAAATAATATTTTAAATCACTCCTTTTGAAGATTTTCATTGGCTTTTGGATGGATTTAATATGTTAAATACGTTTATTTTTGTTTCATGATGTACCTAGCTTTTAAGTTTTTGATAGAAATTGTGAAATTTGTTGAAATTTTATGAATTAGGACGGAATACTAGTATTGTGGCGGTTTAGTTTTTGTTTCATTGTGTATCGCTATCGATGTGAAGTTTTAAGCTTCTCCCGTCATCATTATCTCCTGCGATGGTGCAATATTTAACATCTGATGCAGTCACACAAACAACATCAACTCCCAAAGTCACGGCACAATCCTGCTTATCTCCATCGGTCATAGAAACATCATTGTCTTAGGTGATCATAGAATTCCTGAATATTTTAATCGGTCATGGAAACATCGTCATTGTCTTCAGTGATCGCAGCAAAATCATGAACATCTCATGTGGTCTTGTAGACATTATTGCTACATGATGACAGCACAAGTTGAACATATCCCACAGACTTCCTCGTCTTCGCCAATAGCGGAAAAATCATGAACATCTATGTGATCTAGTAGACAGCATCATCTTCTCCCGCGGACATGGGGACATCATCGCCGTCTTCGGCTTTGCGGCAAAATCATGAACATTTCCCACAGCTGTGTAGGTATCATCGCATACAAGTCAGGTTTCGATATCAACATCCACTTTTTATAATCGATCTTCGTTACCGATACCTATGTCCAAGAATCAGTGGTATCGTAAATCGGTATTGATAATCAACACAGCTTTAATTAATAATGATCCAAAATATGTGTGTAAATATTATTTTAATGTAGACCAGTTATATCTGAACCATTCAGTATAAACAACTCAACCTTATAAGCTCAAATCAAAAGCAAATTTGATTTGATACCAGTGGTAAGGAGGAATTGTCAATTCTCATTTTCTGAATTCTTTGTGACTTTGGATATAATACCGATTTTTGAATCTACCATCCCTAATATAGGGGTTAACAAAGAAATTCATATATTCAGGTTTATTTTCAGTTGACAGAATTCATGTAGTTTTCTACAGTGTCGGTTTTTGTGTGTACAGACTGATGATCCTTGCCCACAAGAGTTGACCCAAGATCCTGGCTACTTCAGCACGTCTCCGTCACAGCAGCTGCAGTACTCCACTAGACACAGCGCACAGACAACACCCAACACTCCCTCTAGCATACCTGACATTGTACTGACAGGTCAGTCCCACCTAGCAGCATTATGTTTTTACTTATCCTTAATGCCCTGACAAGACATGGCAAACTATATTTGTTACAGTTCGTCAACGTTGAACAACAGCTTTGTTGTTTTGAAATAAGTTTAACTATGGCTTTGCAGTAAGATGTTATGTGCTTCACAACTGACGGTTGATTTTCAGATTTCTCCAGTACAGCAGAAGAGTTGGCAAACCGAAATGACGAATTCACTAAGGAGTTAGGAGTTGCAATGGCAGGCGCCTTTGACACTGACGAAGCTTTCCGTGAAGGTAAACACCCCGCTGTTAAACTTATAAATACATTTTCAGGTGCTTTTCAACAATTTTTAAAAGTCCTTAATAAAAAGAATTTTACTATTTTAAGTCCAATTAAATTGTAAAAATAATTAATTTGCTGCTATGAGGAGCTCAATAAATTGTGTTGACTATATTCTCAGGTAATACGTTTCAGTAGCTTGCATTTTAATAGCATATTTTGTAGCGTTTACTTATTTCTAGGCAATATGACAGAATACGAAGTGTGACTAGAAAAAAACAATTAGTGCAACTCTTTCTATTTTTTGTCCCTTACAACTTTGATCTTATCACCTTCAATATACTCCCCTCCGCTATCCCTACACCTTCCCATTTGATTTTATTGCCGATTATTGTTTTGGCAACTGTGCAGACTGCAGATACTCAATTGATGATCTTGACGGATTACTTTGCCTATTTTCATCTGTCTTTGAGGAGCTTATACAATTCAAAAACGTTTGTACATGACATACAATCTCCCTGCAACACTTGTTGTAAGAGAGAATAAATCTATGTTAAAGATTTCAGCTTCACTAAAAATGTCACGCTATCACGTTGCTCAATTGATGCCTACCATTTTTCTGACGAGTGGCATATACAAGGTCCAACAGTAACGAAGGCTGAGCAAGCCAAGCTCCAACCTGCTGGAATTTTGATAGGGAATATCAGGTGACTCAGCAATATGGCATTTGACCTTGAGGCTAACACGGTTTATCTCATGGAAAACCAGTCCCGTTATTTTCTAGCCACACCTCGTTGGTAAAATGTATCAGTTAAGCATGGTTGATATATGGGTCTCTCAGTATTTTATCACCATAAATAATGACTTTTATTTGTTGGAAAGATTATCATCTTATTTGTTCTGTTGGTGACTCATGTGCATCTGAGCTATTTTTTGTAACAATAACCATTAAAGAGTTGATTATTTGGGACTTTTTTTAGTTTCATGCATTAGTTAAATTTTGTAAATGTTTGATTAAAGAGTAATTTTTAGCCAAGAAAAATTATAAAAGCGCAGACATTACAATTTCATGTTCAGACCATTTACATGTTTGTTATCGCCACATTTTAGGTTTGGGAATCATAGACTTTGACGCACTTCAAATGTTGACTGATCCAACGGAAATCATCACCGACCCCAACGCTGAAGAGCACTTCAGGCAAGACAGGTTCCAGTGAGACACTCTTCCTCGGACTTTAGTCATCTTAAGCATAAGAGTGTATCTAGCGTAGTTTCGTAAGCATCCTGACGCAGTTTTCTATCTAAAGTGTTCATTTAATAACATACTACAAAGAGAAACTAACTTTCTTTTAGATTTCTCACTATCCAAAATCACTGTTTCTAAAAGTGTATTAGGGTTGCGGAAAAGCTGTTTGGATTAAAATATCAGTGCCATAATAAAATTTGGAATTGGTAGGATACAATTTTTTAAGATCTCATTGTTAACGCGATTCAATTTTGACATTTGCTACAAAATTTAATCACAATTTTGTAAGATTTGAAAATGGTTGACGTTCTAATAATTTACAGTGTTTTTCAGTTTTTGTTTAACATTTCAAGTTTAATTTTGTTTTAGTAAAAAACTTTTAGTTAGGTCTAGGAAAGGTTATTAGTTATTTTGACGCCCCTAACGTACAGGATTTTATGTTCTTCTGTGTTAGTTGTCTTTGCTCAAATATTTAGTTTTTGAAGGATTTAGTTTTTGTTTTCATTATTTTTATTTATCTTATTTTAGCAGTAGACGAAGTACCATTTTGCTCAATTTATTAACCTGTAATCCGACATTGTATTTCCATTGAGCTATTTGCAAGGCAACCCTTTACAAAAAATATTTATGTCTAGAATATTTTTTTCCAAATATAATTAATTCTAATTTTTTTAAGGATACATTTTTTTAATATAACAAATTACATTACTTACTAAGCACTCTAAACATTCTACTTGCGCAACTTATTTTTTGTAAATTGTAATTTTTTTTAGTTATTTTGTCTGCCCACTCAATTGAATGATTACTTTGTAAGATAAAGAATTTTGAACTGTTCTTGGAATTGAACTATTGTCTTTCAATTTGTAGAGATGGCTTTCGAATTATCTATCAACCACTCCAATCCAGTTTATTTAGTTTTAAATGTTACCTAAAATTAAATTAAATTTTACAAAAGGGTTTAGCTTAAAAACAAGTTTCAAAAGGTTAAATATACTTAAATTTAAACTATTTTATAGCATTTTCATTATTTGTAGGTCACCAATAGTTTATAAAGATATAAATGTGAAATTTTATGAGACTGTCAGTTTTAATCAAAATGCTTAGATTTGTCAATTTGAGTGTACTTTCAATCTATAACTATTTTTGTTGAATTGGGGATACAAATAATTAACTGTCACGACTTGTGGATTAATTTGCCTCTATTTGTTACTTCAAACATATCGCTTGCTTTCAGAATGAGTAGTTATGTTTATCACAATATAAATATTTAGTCCTATAGTTATGTTGTTTCATATGTCTTAAGAACAGGGCCAGATTTAGGAGTATGCCACCTGTAGGCTAAATTCAACTGCCCCCCCCCCCCTTTTAGTCTTACAATTAATAGATTCATATGTTTTTATACATTCATTTTATACAATGAATGATAGATACAGTTATTCAAATTAAATTGTGCTAAGGTGTAAAACTAAAAAAACACAAAAAATAGTTCATTACTGGGTTTATTTGTTGATTAAATATATATGTTATACACTGACTCGGCTTGCAGTGTTGTCTGATCGAATCACACGATATGAAAAATGTGCTACAACATTATGTGTGTGGAGTAAATTCGTATTATGAAAAGAAAAGAATAATAGAATAAACATATTTCCATTCCCGTAGATTAATACGCTACATATCAAAGATACGTCTAATGAAGTTTAATAGTTAATAAAGTTTAATAGCCTTTTAAGCCTATTTAGAAATCTGGCCCTGCTTAAGAAAAAGATTTTTTTACATATTTGTTTTTGTTTTTATTTTATTTCTTTATTTTATTTTCTGATGAATAAATTAGAAGGTATTATTTTGTAACAATTCTTACTACTACCATACCCTGTTTATATGAAATGAATAAGTTGTAATTTTTACACTATTGTGTTTTTACTATTTTAGTTTGGAATCATGCCCCAATGTAAAATAAAATTAATTTTGTTAGATTACATTCTATCGTGTTTATTCAAATATCTTTTTTATTCTATTCATTTTCAGTTTCATTAAGCTCTTACTCCTTAACTTCATTTTCCAAATTATTGTTACCATCAGAATATAAATATATATTTAGTATAGAGCATATCAGAAATGTACAAATATTAGTTCTGTTACGGATATAGTTTTATGATGTATTTTTACTTTACAGATTTTATAACTGTTACTTAAAACCAAAAAAAGTTTTTATGTTAGTGCCATACACAAATATGACAAATTTTTTTCTTATTGTTACTTAAATAAGAAGGTGCAGGTTACGAATTTTAAAGTTGACTTAATAAGAACCAAAGTGTTAATCTGCTGCTCATTGACCTGCTGTTAAATGATTGAGCCATTTTTACTTTGAGCCTTACAGATTGTGACTCCTTTATATAAGCTTACATCCCCGATATGCTAAAAAATTCAAATTTAAGGTTTTTTCACCGAAATCTATAACATTTTTGTAATTTTTTATTTTAAAATTTTTAGTTTTATTCTTATCAAAAAAGTTATGAAGTATCATGAATAAGTGATCTCCTTTTGGCACCTTAAATTTGGATAGCTATTTTACTCTTTACAATTGTTTTTAAACATAAACAGCCAAAATTAGCATTTTTAGCCTTTTAAAAACCCATTAGTAGTTTTTGGAATTTAGCATGAATTAGGGATTGCGACAAATTTTGATGCTACATTAGAGTTTTTTAACATTGGAACACCCTTTAAATAATGTGGTTCTATTCCCATTTGTTTGTAAGCGGTTTTGATATAGATTGTGAGTCTGTCAATTGTAATCTGAAAGCATCACAGAAGTTTGTTGGGCATTGAACATGATAGGCCTATTGTATACACTCTGCATCCAGTCAATTTAAACAGAAATAGTAACAGTCTTTAGTATAAGGAACGTTTACCAAAATCGTGCAATATCTTCTAGTAATATGTTTGTAAATAGTTTGTACATAGGGTAATTGTAAATATTGATACAAGTTTTGTTCTTGCCCCCTTCATGTCACATTCCAAGAGTTCAACTTTAACGGTTACAAAATGCACGATTCTTCCTACAGTATATTACTAACTGCAATTTTTCTTCAAATACTTGTCAAATAGGTTGTAAAGTGGTTTTTGTATTTTGATTTGTAACAATATTGTCAAGTAGTGAATTAAAGAGGATAGTTCTAGATTTTTAGTCTCGACATGAATTTATCTCTTCTTTAAATTTGTTATCTATGGATCTTTTTTATTGTATTAGTTGTGTGTTTAACCTTAGATTGTTAACTGGAGTAAGATCTAAGCATTGTTTTCTTAGTCTTTCCAAAGAGAGTTTTTTAATGTTCTAAGAAATAATTCCTCTTTTTGAAGGGTAAGTGAAAGTGTCAGAGATTTGAATTATATTCCACTAAACAAGGAAAACACCAAAAACCTTTGAGCCGCTAGAGTAAAATGCCTTTATTTAATCTTCATGTGGGCTCTTTCATGTGAGTTAATACTGCATTTTGATGTTATAATTGATATTTTTCTTGGAGATTAATTTATTGATGTCATAGCACTGTTATATCTTCAGTTGTTGATACTTGTCCTAAGTTTCTGCAATTGTAATGTTTGGTTTGTAAGGTTAAACAGAAAGTGAAGAATGATTCATTAAAGTCATCCTGGGGCAGTATGTTGATGTTGAAATGTTATTTGCTTTAATTAATTTGCTGCTTCGTTCAGAAATTGATTTATTTAATAATTTTAAATGGTTGATACGGTCATAAAAATACTTTATTTAGGTGTAATCACCAAATGATGATGGCATAGATTTCACTAATGCATTACTTTTGGATGTTCTAATGGAAATTACTTAAGTCTTTTAAAGACATAACCTTGAAATGTATTTAGGCCTACTCTTAAACTGTCTCTCCTTCCTCGTCTATATGACTGAAACAATATCACCCACTGGTTCAATGCTTTGTTTCTCCCAAAAGCAAATAACCAGTATCAGTAAACTGACACATACTTTTCACTCATGGGCTTGTCAACAACCCTTTATAATGAGTGGTGGGAGTAACTATGATATTTTATTTGTAAAATCACTAAACTTTAAATAGTTTTTGAACCTAAATTTTTACAGGTGGGGGTGTATAACTGTTTTAGAGTTAAAATATTTAAACATGTTAAAATATAAAATAAAATATTCAATTTTGTTCAAAATCCTACAAAATATTTTTTAAATCTTGATTTTTCTTTTTTTGGGGGGGGGGAAGTTTATGGGAAAATTAATATTAAAATAAAAATTTCCAAATATATAAAAACGCCTGGAGATACAGTACTATGGATTAGTAACAACATAACAAATTTCATTATAATCAGACCACAGGAGTAGTCTGTCGCCCTGAACTTACATTACTTACTTACATTACTTCGAAAACCACTTTTTGGGTTCAGGGGGCCCAAAACGGATATTTCCATCCAAAGCTCAGAAATGTATATGAAAAAATACTTTCTCCATGTACTAGGGCCTATGTATAGGTGGAGAAAGTAAAAACATTATACAGATAGCATTCTTGTGAGTTGAAATTTCAAATTTGGGTTGTGAAAACTCAGACACAATCGGTAAAACTAAAATTACTTTCCAATAAGTAAGCTGTTGCTTCAAAAACACTAAATGAAATTTTCTTTACTTTCTGGATGACCTTGGTGAATCGTTAGGATTGTTTAAATTTAAAAACATTCTGAAATTTGAAATCTAATGAGGATATTTTAAAGTTGTTGTTTTATTTGATTTTGATCTGTTAAGCAATTATATAGTTTAAATAGAATGTTCAACATTAAATTTTTAAGTAAAATAACAATGTATGTTTAAAACAGGTTTCTGTGTAGACTCTAACGTGATCTGAGGTAGATTTTTCCAATTTTTGAAAATATTTCAACTATAAAATAAAAAATTGTGTCTTGTAAGATCCTGTCTTGGTCAACATATTTCTCGCTAATGACTCGCTTTGATCACTTTTAAAAATATTTACATTTTTAAATGGTTTTATTGATCTTTGTGGTGTTATTGTTAGCCTTCGTGGAATGGTTTCTCACAATATGGTCACTGCCCTATATTGTACATTAAAACAAAAACAAAATTATTTCAAAACAAAATTTCTTAACACAATTATTGTAAAAAAAAACAATAAAATGAAACTTTGAACTTTTGCTTAACTTACTATGAAATATGCTCATTAACTGCAAATCAAAACTTTTCATGGTTATTTCACTGAGAATATTTCAATGTGTGTGTCTTTTTTTCCATTGAAGCCAAAGTTCTTCCTCGGATCACCTAGTTAAAGCACACTTTGTGTGTCAAGTGTAAAGTTTAGTGATATTTACATATAACTTGTTGCTGAGTAAGTACGATAGTGCCAAAGCATGTGGTGGGTTTGAAGCTTGCATCACTCGATATATTTCCTATAGGATACTTAAAACGCTTATTACTACCACTATAGTAAATATTTTGCCATCGATTCGGTCAGTAACTAACGCACAAATAGAGAAAGCGTACGTCGACTCTTAAGCTAAAGATCTTCAATTATTTATTCGGATAATTGTTTCGATAGTGACTCTAAATAGGTGTAAATAAGCTCTATAAGAATTATTGTTACGGTATATTTAAAATATATATAGATGTTTCTATGGTCGGTACTTAGGAGTTTAGACATGCACAGTAAAGTTACCTCGTGCATGTGCCATATTTTCTTGTTTCATATAGCGTTCGTCGTACGAGCGGTTTGTTTTGTTTTCCGTTGTCTCGTTACAGTTTATCGTTTGTTATTTGAAAGCGATTACAGTGATTAATTTTCTTATCTTTGTTGCGATGATAACACAATTGTTGTGGTTAGATTAAAAGACACTAAAATATTTTGTATATAATAGTAGTTGTGTCGATCTTTTAGAGTTTATAGGTGTTTCAGACTTTTTACACAATCTCCTGAACATTTCATTGATTGTATTTGTTGTCTGTATTTGTAATGTGAAATCATTTTTATTATCAATGTTTTTTACTTAACACGATACAATAAATGAAATTAAAGAACTTGTGTTTTATTTTATCACATTCTCAGTGCCGGTTTTACATCTAATAATCATTAACTGAGGAGCATAGTGCCCTGATCCCCTAATACTTTTCAGAAGTTGATTTTGAAAATATTTGTTTTGATAAGACTTTAGAATAGTATATTTCATAACAAGAGTAGAAAGTGAGTCATTACATATTTGAGACAAGTTGGTCGAGAATATTGTAGAATTATATTATATATAAGAATATTATACATTGTATAAACCCACTTTAACTTGTGTTTTGGACGTTACTTTTCGCTACACTACAAGGAATAATTATTTTCTTCATTATAAAACTCATATAATTTTTTAGGCTATGCCTTCAATTTAAAGTTAATATATTTAATTTGGTTGTTGAAAATTGAAACAGTTGATGAAACAATAACAAATATTTGTTTGTTTACGTCGGCAAAATCCAAAAAAGATAGTAAACTACTTTTTCATAGTAAACATTCTTTTGCTATAGTAAACAATTTAATGATAGATTTTCACAGGTGATAAACATGTAACGAAAACAGGTCATTTCACAGTAGTGTAGTGAAAAGATTTTTTCCTATCCCTACAATTATTTTGTTGATTTAGGAACTCTGTGTGGAACAGAGGTTGTAAAAGAATTGTTCTATTGATTCAGCTAATCATTCAAATTCCCTGGTGATTATATTAGTATACATTGATTGAAA